TCACTGATGTTTATAAGCTGCTCCCAGAGTCCCCAAGACACATCCTGCTGAATGTGGAAAAGGGAACATATTTACAAGGAACAGAATTCTCTTAAATCTACTCTGGATTATTTTCCACTGTTCCTGAAAAACCCAGAACTGAAAATATTAGCCTCTCAGAAGTGCCTTATTGAGGAAAAACCATTCCTTTTCAATATGCCGCAGACTCCACCACTCACAAGTGTCTGAAAACTAGTAATAGGTAGTTAAAGGCAGTTCAAACATTAATTTAAAAGCTAACAATACTGTCCTTAATCAGAAATCAACAGGTAGCCTGAGGGACCAGAAGATAGGCACTGGTCACACTAAAACAAAAAGCTTGTATTCATTCTAGCTCTCCCTGGCTATCTGCCAACTCTGGATTTTCTAGTATTTTAGAAATATTCATTTACATTCAAGATATACAGAAGGGGAGAAGAATTAGAAAATTAAGTATGGGGTCAAATGATTAAAAAGTTTAACCAACTCCATCAATTCATGCAACAAATTCCTTACAGACCCACAGAGAAGATGCAGACACATCAGGGAAGAGAAAACCCCAGCCTTTCCTGTCAGAGCTTTAGTGCTATCTATCCTCTGTTGCAGACTGGCAATGGTCTTTCATCATTTTCAGTCTTTTGTAACAAGAACAAACTTTCTCTCACCTACCTAAAAACTGGTCCAACGCCAAATACAGAAAACAGTGCATAGACACTACACTATTTCATTTTGTTTTCATGCTAAATCTTTGAAAATGTAAATGTAGGCTTATTTCCTAGACTCAAAAATTGTTCAAGATATTTCTACAAATTCAAATTAATGAAGTTATTAAGGATTCTCTCGATAAAAGAATGTACTAGTAAATATGGGCAACTCCTGAACTCGTTCAACAAACTCGACTGTGTACTGACTACCTGATTACTACCTAATTCTCAGACATCTTTCTAAGCACTTAGGATGGGTCAGGGAGCAGGTAAGACACCACTTACTCATTGCATGAGTTGGCTGTTTGAAACCTGGAGCTTATGCAGGGACACTTGGCTCAGTCTGGGAGGAAGGGACTGGACCTGCCTAGACTGAGTCTACCAGGTTGATCACAGTCCTCGGGGGAGGATTTGCCCTGGAGGAGGTGGGAATGGGGGTGGGCTGGGGGTAAGGGGAGGGGGTGGGAGGGGGAGAATAGGGGAACCCATGGCTGATATGTAGAACTGAATGGTATTGTAAAATAAAAAAATAAATAAATAAATCTAAAAAAAAAAAGACACCGCTTACTGGGAGGAAACCTAGTCTAGAGCTCAGCTTCTTCATTCTCATTCATGTTTCCCACACTGGAAGCAAGGAAGTGCAAGCCACCTTCTCCACAACCACACACATAAGCAGCTAAGATTCCCCTTCAGAATCTTTCTAAAACAAAACCAAAAAATAAACAAACCAAAAACCCTCCTCACAGCCACCATCCTTCAAGCTACAAAGAGAATCACTTTCCCCTTAAGTCTGTTCTAGTTAAAAAAAAAAAGGATTTCTGCATTCTAGCGCCAATGTAAGTGGTTCTTAAGTCACTAACACCACAGCTCAAAATCATCTCATAACTGTAAATTTTCAACAGTTGTAAAATCCTACCTTCTAAAAAAAAAAAAAAAAAGCCAAGTCAAATGTGGTGGCACACACCTAATCCCAGCATTTTGAGTATGTAAAGACAGGAAAATCTGAGTTCAAAGACATCTTTGGCAACATGAGAACCTACCTCTCGAAATAAATAAATGTCAAAAGTCATCAAACCACAAGTAAAGCTTACATCTTATCCAAGTTTCTGTGTCAAGGTGACTAAGGTGTTTTTGTTTTTGTTTGTAAGTACCTAATTTTTTGGCAATTGCATAAGCTTCATCGGATGACTTTGCCACGAAGCCTTTGGGAACTGAGACACCAGCTTCCCGCAATAAGTCCATACTCAAGTATTCATGCAGTGAGAGATTCCTTTGTTGTTGCTGCTGTATTTGGAGTCCATGCTTGTTAAACAATCCAGAATTCCCCAGAACCTAAAAAAATGGAGACATATTTAAGTATGACAGTGGTTTAGCAGTTGTTTTACAAGAAAGAAAGAAAGAGCAAATGAGCCACCCCTCATATTTAGTTAGAGTGCTCGGTTCTTCTTAACCACAACAAAATTGCTACATTAAATCATCCAAACACAACAGAGTATCTGAATTATAATATAAAACTGAAAGCTGGTCTACCAGTTCATTATCAAATGTTAGTTGCCCTTGTAACTTTTTAACTGTTTCCTCATCATCCATCCCTAGTCCTTATCTGACATCTGTGCTTCATTACCATATCTCCACTAGCCTACAGGAAATGACTAACTGAATGATAAAGTCAGAAGTTCTAAGGCCAATCATCTTCTCTACAAAACTAAAACTGATTCCCAATTGTTTTCTCTACCCTTCTCTGGGATCTATATCACCTGGCATTAGATGTGTGATGATAGCTGAATGATTTGGACCCATACCTCTTCCAAGAGAACATGGCAATTACAAACTCCTTCGCTTTTTTCTTTTTTTCTTTTGTTTTTTTGTTTTTTGTTTTGTTTTGTTTTGTTTTGTTTTGTTTTGTTTTTCGAGACAGGGTTTCTCTGTGTAGCTTTGCGCCTTTCCTGGAATTCGCTTTGTAGACCAGGCTGGCCTTGAACTCACAGAGATCCGCCTGGCTCTGCCTCCCAAGGGCTGGGATTAAAGGCATGCCCCACCACTGCCCAGCTCCCTTTTCAATCCATGTTGAATGTTCATTCATTCTATTAAACATTTAAAGCACATAGGAACTAGAACAGTGAAATTATCCTCAAAGGCTTATTCTAGTGTGTATTTGTGCACAAGGACAGGTAGTAAACAAACATGCCAGAAAGCAATAAGAATAAGAAAGAGTGTCATACAGAGAGATACTAAAACATCCCTGTTTTCAGTTTAATCAGAATTATGACCAAAAAGGAAGGATAAGGTGTTAGCAGTGCACGCCTGGGAACCTAAGTTTAATCCTCAAATCCCTTACAAAAGTGGAAGTCTGTACAAGCTTGCATTCCCACCAACAGTGGAGGAGAGTTCCCCTTGCTCCACATCCTTTCCAGCATAAGCTGTCTTCAGTGTTTTTGATCTTAGCCATTCTGACAGGTGTAAGGTGGTATCTCAGAGTTGTTTTGATTTGCATTTCCCTGATAATTAAGGATATTGAGCAATTCCTTAAATGTCTTTCAGCCATTTGAGCTTCCTCTGTTGAGAATTCTCTGTTTAGCTCTATAGCTCATTTCTTAATTGGACTGTTGGGCATTTTGATGTCTAATTTCTTGAGTTCTTTATATATTCTGGATATCAGCCCTCTGTCAGATGTGGGGTTGGTGAAGATCTTTTCCCATTCTCTAGGCCGTCGCTTTGTCTTGTTGACCATGTCCTTTGCTCTACAAAAGCTTCTCAGTTTCAAAAGGTCCCGTTGATTGTTTCTCTCAGTGTCTGTGTTACTGGTGTTATATTTAGGAAGTGATCTCCTGTGCCAATGCATTTAAGACTACTTCCTACTTTCTCTTCTATCAGGTTTAGAGTAACTGGATTTATGTTGAGGTCTTTGATCCACTTGGACTTAAGTTTTGTGCACAGTGACAGATATGGATCTATTTGCAGC